TTCATAACGACATGAAACAACATATCAAAAGTCGTGCCACATATAATTTATCAAACTATGTCGTGCCACATGCGATTTATCAAACTATCATGTCGTGCCAAAAATTAATTTTATCGGGCCACATATCAAATCTGTAACACCAAATCAGAAATATAAATCCGTCGGACCACATACAAAATATAAATCTGTCGGACCACACAGGAGATATAAAATCTGTCGGACCACACAGGAACTATAAAATCTGTCGGACCACAAAGGAACTATAAAATCTGTCGGACTACACAGGAACTATAAAATCTGTCGGACCACATATAAATATAAAATGTTTTTTTTATCTTTGTTTTTGTTTGGCAAAAGAATCAAAGTTTGAAATAAAAACAGATTAGTGGATGCCTCATATTTTTTTCTTTCTCCATCATATATTAAGAGATGTGGTAAATATGCTTCAACAATGGTATACCCATTTAGTATTCTTGTGAATTATGAATGCATACTTTATTGTCGTAACAATGTTACAGAGAACATATACATATGAATTTAATGGAAAAACACGTTTCTAACCAGGAGGAACGACCGTCTTCTGAACGATCTTAGATAATTTACATAATAGAACTACATTGTTTGAAGAAAACAATTGTTCAAATTATGCCATGTCTAGAGCACTGAAAAACCTTTATATAAACTAATTGTCGTACGGATGTAATCGTTCTAATTATCACACTGGATCTGTACAGTCATTTACTAAACAAAACAACCAGCTCATAATGTTCTGGTTTTAAACACCATTGATTGCGCTATATATAACCGGCAAATTGTCCTGACATATAAAACTAGCTTAAACACAAACAATAGTGTGGAAGTTAATTACGAAAGGTGAACTTGGCAGTTATGTAACATTAGCATTAAGTCATGTATCGACAATTATCACAATAAATAGGATTTATTTCCTGATATCAAACCATGAATATGACAATGGTAATATTAATATAAATCTTAAAGCCCGGTTTTCACTATCAAAGTTAACTTCGTCAAAGTTTTCTTTGTCCAGGTAAACTAGGTCCAATTCATCTGTTGGTACTATCAATTTTATTTTTTCATTTTTGGTCAAAGAAAACTTTGACCAGGTAAACTTGGTCCAAGTCATCGGTTGTTACATCAAAGTGTTTCATCAAAAACTTAGTCAAAGAAAAAAAACCTGCACTGTGATTTGATAATACCTGTCAAAGTCAATCTAAATTTCAAGAAAAATAGGACGAGATTCTATTCCATTCAAGTTAGTCAAATTATTTGATCCAAGTTTTCTTTTATGGTTGTCACTATAAAAAATCCATCAATAACTTTGACCAAGAAAACATACAAGAAAACTTTGATAACGGGTCTTCACATTAGTCCACAGATCAAATATTATTAAAATTTCCAAAATCTTATGAAAAGCAACAAGCCGACTGAACAACCGCCTACATGTTTAACCCCGCCATATTCTGTATGTATGTGCCTGTCCCAAGTCAGGAGCCTGTAATTCAGTGGTTGTCGTTTGTTTATGTGTTACATATTTGTTTTTCGTTCATTTTTTGTACATAAATTAGGCAGTTAGTTTTCTCGTTTGAATTGTTTTACATTGTAATTTCGGGGCCTTTTATATATATAGCTGACTGTGCGGTATGGGCTTTGCTTATTGTTGAAGGCCGTACGGTGACCTAAAGTTGTTAATTTCTGTGTCATTTGGCCTCTTGTGGAGAGTTGTCTCATTGGCAATCATACCACATCTTCTTTTTTATATGAACTACTAGTAAACAAGTTATGCAAATTTTTTCGAATAATTAATGAATGCCTAGAATCTCTTGGGTAACCACTTTATGTCTCTACCTTGTATTTGTATTATATTTTATACTATGTATGTAAATGTATGTGTGTATGTCTCTATACTATGTATGTAAATGTATGTGTGTATGTCTCTATACTATGTATGTAAATGTATGTGTGTATGTCTCTATACCATTGTACTTTGTATTATATTTTATACTATGTATGTAAATGTATGTGTGTATGTCTCTATACCATTGTACTTTGGTTTACGAGAATAAATAAATATATATATATATATATATATATATATATATATACAAATCGTCTAAACATCAGCCCAACAATGTTAGATCTGTAAATTTGCTTTCGCAAATTTTTTGTTCTTCCCTCGCCGGGATTCGAACTCATGCTATACTGAGATATCGTGACACCAAATCGCCTGCATTGTATCCGACGCGCTTGATTATGTGAATCCTAGGTGGTCGTGTGGTCGTGTAGTCTAGCGCGTCGGATACAGTGCAGGCGATGTGGTGTCACGATATCTCAGTAGCATGAGTTCGAATCCCGGCGAGGGAAGAACAAAAAATTTGCGAAAGCAAATTTACAGATCTAACATTGTTGGGCTGATGTTTAGACGAGTTGTAAATACAGAATGTACACAGCCATGCATCACCATCACTGCTGGTGATCCGATGGATAAATCTGTTGTAGAGTTGTCACTGGTTCAGACTTACTTATATGTGTATATCACTTTTAATTACACACTTATACTGAACCCACCAACTCTTTTTCATCCTGATTAGGGTGTACTTTAAGTAAACCGGTCACCAGGGATATCAGCAAAACTATATGAATACGTGTATTTGCTTAAAAAAAGTAAAATGCTGGTTTCGAAGCCATTTTTACATAGTTAAAATGATTTCGTAATGTTCCGAAGATTCCCAGGCTTCAAATCCTGACTTTCTTTCGTTATACAAATTTTTGCTTTTTTCTTGGTGAAGAAATCATTATGATTTTTGGTTTAATCAGAAAATACAAAATTCTTTTGTAAATAACATATCTGATGATGTGAAATCGAAATGAATAATTGAAAATCTGCTTGACTTCATAACAACAAAAGCCCTCATCAAGATCAAAGCAAGTTCAGTCATTCTTCTTTACATTGTCTGCATCATCTCATGTTGGTAATACAAAGTAAAAGGTTATTAATCATAAAAATATTGATGAGTTTAAACTTGAGCTAATCATCAACAAACTGAATGTCAAGTTTTTGAGTAAACCCCTAGTTTACTACCAATTTAATTACGTAAAATGCATCCTTTATTACTTTCAATAAAAATAAATTTCTCTAAAACATTAATTTTCATATGTACTGTCATGATTTTTCGTTGCATTACATATGGTAGGGTTGGAGTCATTTATCATTAAAGTCTATCTCGCACTTTTATTTCCAGAAACTTAATCGCCTAAAGTGAAAACAATCAAAATCAAAACGAACTTTACTTCGGTACATGAAGATTATCGAAGTATATTTCATTGATTGCAATGAAAAACCGTGATTTCCGAATGAGATAAAAACCGATAATTTCGCCGATAATGTCACTCCTGTGACGTCATACAATAATGGGTGTAGTCAAATTTTGTCTATGACGTAGCATCAAAACGAATTGAGAATGTGTAGAATAAGATATAGCTCTTTGCATTTTCTTTTTCGTTTCCATTTATAATCAGTGAAATAAAAAGATTGAATAACTAAAGAATTCAAGGATCATAAAATATGCAACTACAATGACCGAACAACACTGAAATTCAACTCATTTGCCTAGACTGTTGAGTGCTGCACAATTGCTCTCTACCATACTTTCTATAAGTCTATTCATGAGCAACATGTTCAAGATTTTATGAAAAGGTCTAACTGATTTAAAGTACCTTCATAAAGTGTTATTGCTACCGGCACGGATGATCATCAACATCAAACCTAAGTCATCGTCACAGAAAATATGATTTGCCTCTTTTTCCTTTTTTCCTTTTCCTTTCTTCTTGTTCTTTTCTTCTTTTTATATATTAGTTCGTATAATATTTAATGACTTTGTTCGCTTTACATGCATGCTCATAATGTTATTATTGCATATATACTTGTATTGTAATATGGAGAAGACTTCACGATTTACTTGTTTTTCATCTATTTTGCTGATATTTAGCAGATACAATATGTTTAAACCAAACATTTACTTGTTACACATTGTAACTTGGATGGATAGTCGTCTCATTGACACTCATACCACATCTTCTTATGTATATGAGCAACAAGCATTCGATCGTGAATTAATGTGTTGTTCGGTCACTCGTGGAAAATTTTTCTATATTTGAATTCTTGTATCAATTTTTCTTTACTAATGTAAAGAAAGCAGCTAAAACACAGTAATATGGCCTACTTCAAATCAGTGGAAATAAGGAGCGAGACCTTGCGGTCACGAACATTTAGAGTACAATTTTCGTACTCAGATTTAAAAAAATCATCCAAGTACTCGATTTGGTGTTTCGAACACAAGCTTTATAACCCGAGTACTGAGTAAAGTTTTGTTTGAACAAAAGGTCATGTTGTAAGTGAAAAGGGTGGGTGTCTCCTGAACAAAATATCTATTAAAATCTCGGCATATATGAAAATGCTTTCTAGCGTATTAAAAGTTCCAAAAAGAATATCGTATTTAAAAGTTTATAAAAAAACAAGAGGATACTTTCTGTCAAGTGAAATAAAACTAAATTTTGTTAATAGCATTTATCAAAATTTATAGAATAACTCTAACAAAATTTCAAAAACAGAAAAAATTCAACGAGTGACCGAACAACAAATTAACTTTCGAATACGCGCGTCTAGGATTAGTTGTTCCTTTTATCACATTGAACATATCTTTTTCCAGGTATTCTTAATTCATTTTGATGCAACCTCTTCGACAATGTCTTAACAAAACCGATTGTTGCATGACGTTAGATGTGTGATATTGTCGGTTTTTATTTCACTTGGACATCACAGTATCTCATTGCAACCCATGTAATAAAAAATATGATTAAACAATTAATGAATTTGTTTGAGATATAAATTTCTGTGAAAATCTATTATCTTTTACCATTTAAAAATTTATTGGATGAAATGTTAATCCCCACATCAGTGCGTGCATGAAGTTATTACATACCTGCATTTAAATATGTTGAGAAAGACTTCACAGAAAACACAGTACACAGACTGAAGAAAACTAATATCTTTAATCTCATGCTGAAAATCTTTTTCACCAGGTTCTAGGTAATATGTCTTTAAAGGAATCTATTCCTTGCTACAGTCATACAGTCTTGGAGTGCAATCTGGAATGTTGTAAATGCTTTGGAGTAATAGTACAACTTTGATTATTTCAAAACATTCTAACTGACCATTTCCAGTCTGACAAACAGATTTCACTTTAGACAGGTCCAACGATACCCACAGCCCTTGTCAGAGGGTTATACAATTATTGAATCGTGAAGAAGAGAAATACCAACACATAACAGTTAGAATTGATATAATTAATAAATCCCCGTAGATAGTGTTTTACATATGTACAGTAGTCGCTGTTATAATGGTATTAATATTATATGAATTATAATATTTACTTTTCCCACACGAGACTTGTTTGGATGCATCAATAAGGCGATATTACAATGGAATTATATAGTTGACAGATGGGTTTTTAGTAGTATTTTTTTATCAATTGCTTAGCAAGATACTAGAAAAAAAATGTATGGCATAGTGTGCTTTTCTAATTGAAATTACTCGGAGAGAAAGGTAGGTTTTTTTATATTGTTTTTTCATTATAGACTCTACTTGTGCTTGGATATAGAAATGTGTACATATGTGTTCTAATCTTAAATACGTAAATGTACCCATACGTGTTCTAATGAATGTAGACGTATCCATACGATTTTATAAATATGTAGATGTACTTATATGTCTTTAAATTTTTTTAAATATGTAGTTGTACTTATTCGTGTTTTAATTTTAGATATGCAGATGTATCCATACGTGCTTTTATTTAAAAAATGTAGAAGATATGCCCAAACATGTTCTTATTTTAAATATGTAAATGTACGGATACATATTCTAATGTACAAATCAGTGCTCTTTAAGATTTTAAGAAACATTTTCATGTATAATTATTAAATTAGTTACATGGAAAGATAAAATAAAATGTAACAGTATTTTACGCAATAAGTTCCTGATGTGATATAGGGACGTAGATGTACCAATCAAATATTGATATACCTGTATCCATTTTTTTTCTTACATGAAAACTGAAATAAAATAATATCAAAAAATTATTTCGTCAATGTTGTGACAAGTAAGTAATTATTATACTTTTTTAATTCATCGATTTATTACCTCTTATTATCTATGTCTATCAGCGCAGTCTTCATAAAGCATTTCAGATGTTTAAAAACAACCATATGGCGAACTCAAAATGACTTGTAGATATGTATTTTTGTTGTCATTGTGCGGCAACAGTCAAATATATTTACTTGTCTAATAATAGATTGATATTAGTGTTGGCTAAACTAAGTGTGTATCTTTTTTGGTCTGCATAACACATTCTGTTTAAGAATAGAAACTGGCAGACATGAACGTTTTATCAATGTATGTGGTAAATATGAAATATTACCTCGACATGAGAGGATATTTTTATATTGTAATTCAAATTCTATTGAAAATGAAATGCACTTTCTTCTGGAATGCCCTCTTTACAATAACCTCAGAAGAGATATGACTGATTATATAAAAAAATACCCCAGTTTAGTTAATTTAAACAGAAATGATCTTTTTACATGGATCATGAGTAATGGAGATAGCAGTTTTTTTATCTATTTTATGTGCATACCTTGATAAAGGCCTGCAACTTAGAAAATCAGAAAATTAGTTAAATACTCTAATAGATATAATAGTTAGCAAAATTATCTCCCCTTGACCACTGACCCTTTCCTCATGCATTTGAACTATTATTTTATGTTTCTTTAAACAGTCTGTAATGTCTATGTCATGTTGTTATTAATGTTATTAATGTTATGCTCTTAATGGGCCCTTTAATTTGGAAAAATAAAAATATTGTATATTATATTGTATATTGTATATTGTATATTGTATAACACAAGGTTACATTGGAAATATCTACGTTAAAACTGTTCCTCTATTACTTATTTGATATTGAGTAGAAACAAAACCAGTTCTATCTTTGATGAAGTATAAACCTTTAGCTTCCACACATCGTTATATGTAAACCACAGATTAACCTGTGAACATGTTTCCCTAGGGTCATTAATTATATGCCTTTTCTATAATTAACATTGAATAAGAATGCTCCCGTGATACCATAACTTACTTAATCAGATTTATGCAATAACAAACGGATTTATTAGATGTGTCATAATGAATGTGATTTCATGATAACAGCTTTAAGTCCACATATATCAATATCAAATTAAATAATGTGAGCTCACATAATTATTAATTCAAAATACGCCTAATGTGTAGGCACCGACCATTCATCTTTAGTTGTCTGGTTTTGGGATGGGGAGACCCATGAGTATTTTTCTCGAGACAAACAATTTTTTGACTGTCATACAGGAACAAGAATTTTATTTTTGAACCTCAATGTCTGTTTCCTCATATTTTTAATGGAAACAAAGTATTGTGTTCACTTCATTCTGATACAAATATTTTTTCAAGACATTTCCCCATGTGAAATTGAAAAATCGTCCAAGAGCAATAATCCACAATTCTAAAGTTTCAATTTTAAAAATGTAGCATAATACGCTATAAATTTATTGCTTTGGGATACCATACGGCTATTTTGTTAAAAGTGAACAAAAAGGTAAAACATGCTACACAGAGGAACAAGTGATCAGTATGCTGGAGTTTCTTATTGACACCATATGTGTTGAATTTGTAGGTAGATTTTTCAACAAATTATAGGCATTTTCTATGGGAACGAACTATGCGCCTCTCCTTGCTGACCTCTTCTTATTTTCATATGAGTTGGAGTTCTTTCAGATACTTGTGAAACCAAAGAAAATCAAAGAAGCCAGATCATTTAATTTCACATTTAGATATATTGATGATGTTCTTTCCATTAATAATCCAAACTTTTCTGATTGTGTTCCATAAATATATATATCCTCCAGAACTAGAAATTAAAGAAACAATAGACACGACTTCCTCCGCCTCATCTTTAGACTTATACCTCGAATTCGACATACATGTACACGTAAGCGGTAATCTTAATACCAGAATCTATGACAAACGAAACGATTTTAATTTTGAAATTGTAAATTTACCCCACCTTAGCAGCAATATACTAACTTCACCTGCATATGGGATATACATTTCCCAACTCATTCGGTATTCAAGTCTCAGAGCTTGCAGCTGCTACTCAGACTTTATAAAACGTCACCAGTGTCTGAGCAGAAAGTTTATGAAAGTTCAGGGGTATTTCAAAGAACGTCTCGTACTTTTTCTAAAAAAAATCATCGGAAGATACCACAACCTTGTTGATAAATATTCCGTATCAACTTCACAAATAATACATGATGGTCTTGAATTATAGATTCTAAGTACTGATGTTGCTTGTCATCTTAATTACGTGTTATAGTGTTCTTTGTATTTTTTTTTTTTTTTATATTTTTAACCTTTTCTGTTTAGTCCATTTTCGGTGATATACTTTTTGCGCGTCTCGGTATTTATACATCCCACCATTGTGTTATTGTGCTTTGGTCATGTTTTGTAATCTTGTCTTTCATTTTTGCTTATTAATATGTACTTTGTCTATAGAGTGTCTATATGCCATTTGGTTTTTCTTTGATGAAATAGTTATTTGTTTAACTGTGATTAAGATTATAACACAATAATGACTGCTGTTCCCCAATTTTTGACATTTTTACCTATAATCATTCGTTTGATTTGTTTGAGCTTTTGATTTTGCCATTTGATAAGGGACTTTCCGTTTTGAATTTTCCTTGGAGTTCGGTATTTTTGTTATTTTACATTTAGATTCAAAAATTGGTTTTAAAATTGCTCCAAGAAAAGATATATGGACTGAAAGGATAAACGCCTTTCTCAACACACACATTCACGCCGCGTGCGCACACTTTTGCGTGTTTTTGATTGTAGATTTATTGAGTATCGATACGGACACTACATTTTAAAACCCAATCTAGCTTTCAATATATTTCTTATAAGGGTGAAATTCATGCCCTCTATTTGGAACTATCTATAGAGGGCATCACATATAAATTATTGCTATTGTAATATCGTATGGATAAGAGTAAGACTACATTAAAAAAGTGAAAGTAAGTAAAAATATTTGAGAATATATTTACCCCCCAAAAAATATGTAAAAAAGAGGGTCCTTCCCTGTGGTGCTGGGGCGTAAAACTTCAACAGTCTATTAATCATTATGAAAAAATTGTCATGCACTCATTTAGATTGAAATTTGCATTCGGATACATGACAATGATTAAATCTGTTGATAACATCAATCGATTTTTAAGAATCCATGAATCCATGAATTCATTTTAAATGGAAACACGTGATTTGTTTTCTGTCGATTTACCGAAAAAAAAAATAAAGTATTATACAATAAAAAATATATTGGTCCAATCGGAATTATTTCTTGTTTTGTTAGGATGTAACAAACCTTTTTGACTGCTATAGATTTCTTGACAAATATATAATTTGGATTAATTTTTCAGATCAGTTTACAAATGTTTACGATTTTGACATCTAATAAGTTTTAGAATCGCAAGGTCAAACGTCAGAGACAAGGGGATGAAACTCTTCATATTTTAATATCGCTGTTCTCGGTTTATGGTAAGAGCATCAGTATGCAATTACCTCATTAACCAACAACAAACAATGCAAGCAATTTCTTAAATAAACAGTAAAAAAATCACATCTGCCGGGAAAATACGTTCAAATATTTTCCAACAAATATAATACTGACATAATAATCAATTCTAAATTATGATTACATATAATGTTGTGCGTATTTGTTAGTTAACAAGAATGTTTAATAAAAAATATGATGTTGATGTAATTAGATTGATTATTAATATTTAAACTTTTTGAAAAAAAGTATTACCCTTTCGAAACACCTGACTGCACCCCTAATTACAATCTGACGTTTTCTGTGTAATATTTGTAGACTGTTGTTTGTCTTAACATTGTTTTTCTTTTTTGTCATGGTGTTGTTGATTTTTTTTAACTTATTGTTTATATTGCTCCACCAATTTAAGAACGACGTGTAAGGGGCAATTTTTATAATCCCGAATATGCTTAAAAATTTGATCCTTTGCAAAAACTGATCATTTTTGTTAAGGCAATAACAATTCTTGAAAGCAAATTAATACAGTAACTGATCCCAGGACACCAAGAAATCTGCTAATTGAAAAGTCAGATTATTTTAGCTCTAGATAAAATCTATAGCGACAATTTTCTTCCAAAATTGTATAATAATACTTCAGTGAAATGGTTAATGGGTTATTTCTGTAAACAATAAGCCAAAAACAAACGAGTAATTTGACTCTCTCGTCTTGCTTCTATAACCATGTAGCATATTTCTGATAGATTACATTATCATGAACAAACACTTTACATGACAGCCTCTCTGTGTTAGATGATGCGATAATTCCTACACATTGTTGTCAATATAATGGAATTCTATGAGACTGTCGTACAAGTGAGAGTTTTAGATAGCTATAAAACCAGGTTAAATCCACCGTTTTCTACATAAGGATATG